ATTTTCAGTTGGATATGAGTTAAATTGGAGTTAAATTGTATATTGACATTACTAGACTGCAGATTTTATGAATTTATGACAAAAACGAGTAGATCAAATATGAAACAGTGAAAACATTTCAAGAATTTAAAAATACTTTTGTATTATTTTCAACCCAATAAAATAATTGAAGAATGAGAGAAGTGTCTATGCAGTTTCTGTATCTTGCAATTAATGCAGACAATTTTTATTTTGCATAAAAATCTGCAGTCTAGACATAATGATCAGTAACATTAATTTCGTTAAATGTGTTACATGTATCTATTTCGAGACAAGAAAAAGATCTTCACACATTATCTATGTGATTGATTAAGCTTTCTGACCTTTTACCTTTTTCTTTGTGGATTAATTCATTCCAGACAACTTTTTTACAGAACGAAAACATTAATACATTTCTTTAAAAAATCTGACACATTTACGTTTATTTAAAGCATGCAATTCATTCATGCAAATCTCTCAAACTTTTTATCATATATTTCTATAGCACAATATAAATGTTATGTACTTCATCCAAATCCAAAAATTTTTGAAATTACTAATATGCAGATTTCTTGGAGAAATTATTTCCTAGGTCTCTATTTTCTTCAGGATTCTGGAATCTAAAACTTTCCTCATAAATATTGGACAATTTTTTAACGAATGCTGTATAAATAATATATTTACGAAAAGTTTAAAACGAAGCCCTGGACTAACATGCAAAATAGATTTAAAAATTTTCCGTTCGCCTAATATATGAAAGTTTGTAACACTGTAACGTCTGCAACTTAGTTTTGTTTACACTGTTATGTTACTCTTTAAGTTTATACATTTTTTTATCCAAGAGAAAATAAATCATTTTACAAACCTAATTATAACATTTTCTTGCAAATACGTTAACCGTAAAACTGAATAAAAAGTAACAATTAGTTAAATAGAATTACTAAATTGTAATCTTTGTTCATATGACATTCAAGTGTTCATTTAATTTTAACTCCTATTTAGATACAACGCATCTATCATTAATAAAAATTGTAAGTAAGATTCTTCCGAAAATATAA